TTCCCTACATTTAAGTTCAGACTTAATGCTCAGAAGAGATGATGTTATTCCTCTTAGCGTTACATTAATGTCTATTTACAAGACCCAAATTTGGGTGCTAATATAGGCATCAGCCATGCCTTCCCGTCCTGCCAGCGACTTCGAGAGCGCCTTGACGGACAGCATGCAACGGCGCGCTGCCAGATTCAACAGCGTCCACTCAGTCGGCAATTCGAGTAGCCTTGGGATTTTCTTTCTTTATGGTAATATCAAAGTTACCAAGGGCTTTAAGGTCTTTAAGACCGCTAAAGAAATACTGTTCGTTGCTTACTCACTGAATTGGAAGTGAAATAATGCAGATATATTATCATTAGATCAGACGTTATCTGAAATAGGCTGGGATACTATTCAGTAAGGAACATATGAGGATGTTTGCATTGGAACTGAGAAAATAAGTTGTTAAAGGGAAAACCTTAAGGCTTATGTGCTTACTCGAGGGTAGGTTTTGTTTGGGACCATCCATACAGACTGTGGACGTCGTAGTGTCTGACCGGGGTACCGTCCGCAAGATGTTGCTGCCCTTCCATGCATGGAGTTTTGCGAATTAATCCCTCTGACTGGTATCCTAAATCTAATGGAAAGGGAATGAAGACACTTATATTTTAATTATTAACACTCAATAATAGTTTAAATGAGTTACTTTTTGTTAGTTTTCATAATCTCTTTTGGCATTCACTTTTATGCATGTGTACAGCCATTTACTTATTACTATAAACATAATATTCCAAGTTTTCTGAAATAGATTTTTCCTAATATTCCCTTGTAGATATCTGAGTCTGCAAGTGCATTAATAACTCAGTTATAGGTGCCCTTACTGAAGGGGCTCAAAGAGTAAGCAGCATATATCCTAATTCAGAAAACACTGCAGATCTTTGTAAACACTGACATATCATCTATATAGACTTTTTCCTCCCAGTTTTCTGTTTATCATTGAATATTAACTTTTTGAGAAATTCTGAGAAACAATTCATAGTAACTAAAGACAAAAGTCAAGCAACAGGAATATTCTAATAAAACACTAATGAATCATTACTAGTTAGTACTACTGCGCACCCGTACTCAAGTAAAGCCAAGGCAAGAAAGCTGAGTATTTCAAGGGCATGCCTCAAATTAGGCCTTATGTTTTTACATATAGATAACTGCTAATGAGAGGAAGTATAAGCATATTTTGTGAATTTTTAATCATTGGTTGCATTATTAACCCGAGAAAACTCCGCAAAACACTGAGAGCTACGTTCTTTACCATACTTGAAGCAAAGTATCTAGATAGGCATCAAGATCCATATGCAGGCAATTAGCTAAAGATAAGTTTATTTTTTAGAAATGCCATGTAGTCACTGTTCCTCCTGAAATAGATGGAAGTTAAGTGTGCTTATAAGGTCTGAAAGGGCCACTTTTAGTTAGGAGCTCAGTTATTTATTTCTATACTTAACTTTAGGCATATACCATTGAAAGAAATGATATATTAACCAGAATGACCAAAGACTGTTTTAAGCAGTAGTCAGACTTACGAGGCATATACGGTGGAAAATTTAGGTGGGGATCTCTACAACCGCCGATGGCACCGTTCATAAAGGCTGCAGGTTCATTCATATCCTAAAAATATACAGCAAAAACTGACTGTATTTGTTTGAATCATACAAAATTAATTTAAATACTAAATGGTTAAAAAAAAAAAAAGCAGCATAGTGAAAGTCCTTAGGTTTTGCAGCTGCAACTTGAGTCTGCTGGTCTGCTTTTCTCCTCATACATTCACAGTTAGTATTTAGAGGAAAGAAAAGAAAAAAAAAAACCCACAGCGCTAGTGTTTAATGGTTGCACTGTTCAGTTTTTATCCCTCAGAAGAGTCCAGGGAGGAGCGAGAGGGTCCGGCGCGCAGCAAACCAGCTGGGGCGCCCCGTCCTGCCCGGTGCCCCGGTCCCTTCGCCTCCAGCCCCTTTTGGTATCTTAACAGCAATTCAATGGCGGATACCCTCTGGGCTTAAGCAGCGATACATAAGCTGTGGCTGTGTCTGCTGGTGTCTGGCAGAGTAGTTAGAGCCCAGCTCTTTTCTGTTAATTTTGCTCCCAGGGGTCTGGATACGTCAAGGTGTCTGTAGCAGGGCATGCTCTAGCAGAAGCTGGCAGGTCTGGCATGCAGCTGGTGTAGCTCCTCTCCAGCATAAGGCTGTGATTTTTTTGCAAGGAGCCTAAGGGAGCTGGTTGAACAAATTCTATGGAAATCTGGGCAATTAGCTCCTTTCAGCTATTTTAGATTGTGCCCTAAATATTTAATTTTCTTTTTCAGCAGGCTTACTGAGTAAATTAGCTCAACTGGAGAACTCTGATTTTCAGGGCTACGTACTGCATTTCTTTCTTGATCAGTGTAAAACTACTGTTTAACAAGTAATTTTTCTGATGAGAAAGTCCTTTAATAGGCAGATTCCGGCTACCTCATTTCCTAGATAGCACAGTGTCTAATCCCGGGAGATTACTTGAAGGTATTGGGCTTTAACTCTTTTTTTTTTTTTTTAAACAAACTCTGTCTTTGAGTCACATTGACTAAGAAGGACAGATTTTCCTATGTGTAAAAGTGAAATCAATACATAAGATGGAGCTAGATAAAGATGCACAAACTGCTAAAATCTCTGAACTTTGTAATTATTACTTGTGCCCTCAGTGCCTGTGGTCCTCTGGTTGCAATAGTAAACCAGTTAGCGTTACAGAAAAATATTAAAGATTTTTACTGGATGTCTAGAGGTTTCTGGGGTAGCAAAATATGAATGTTTAGGAGCTTCTGCAACTTTCGCAAGTTCATTTTATTTAAGTAACAAGCTAAACCTCCTATTATTTAACTCCTCCCGTCTTGTGGAAGTAGTGACTGTTAAAAAAAGTTATCTCGTGCTGTGAAAAAATCGTGCACTTTAGGAGCCAATAGAAGAGTGACATCTTTGCAAAACAAGGTCGAAAGTAAATAAGGAAGATTTCATAGAAAGTGAAATGTTTCAATGGGGGAAAAAATAGCGATGCTATTAGCAAAAAAAAAAAAAAAAAACGGGTGTTTTAAAAAAAAAAAAAAAAAAAAAAAAAAAAAGGTATGTTACTCTTTGGTAGATCATTCATACTCTCTTAACCTGAAATGTCTCTGTGCTTCCCTAAAGGCATTATAATTGAAAAGGATTAAGTTTATTGGCTTTCAAGGTGTTTAGAAAAAAAAAAAATCTTATGATAAAAAGATGCAAAACACTCAGAAAGGGAATACATTTTTACACTTACGATCCATAGGCCATCAAACTTCAAGCTTCTCGAGGCGTTGGTCGGGTGGTTGTAGCATTCGGCTATTTCCTGCTTCCACCATTCAGCTGTGGAATTGCGGAAGAAGTCTGGGAAAGCAGCGTGTGCTCCGTAGATCTGTTCAAGTAACAGGAAAGTAAAGCAGATACAGCACTGAAAAGCATGCCAATATTGAAATGCTGGAATTTGTAAAAATAAAATTCACTTGTTTGTTAACTCTGGTAAAAAAGCTATAGCCAGTTTCTGCATATTACTCTTTAGACTAGGTTGTATCAACTAGTTTGCTATCTTCTTAGTTAATGTGCTTCTCCCTCTATATTTGTATCAATAATCAAAATTCATCAACATTTACCTCTATTTGGGTTTGCTCAGGCAGTGTCTCATTAACTTGTACGTTGGGAAGAAACGGCCAGACCTAATGGGACAAAGGATGTTTTAAAATAATCAAACCAAATTAGATATAACATGAGTACCAACAGCAGACAGATAAAACCGTGCATCACTGCTATGCATGCCAATGACAACACAAACTGAGGACAGTTCAGTTTGTAGCATTTATTTAATGTGTCATCTACATTCAGGAATGAGTATAATATTAGAAGTCTTTCCTCCTGTAGATAGCACTGAAGTCTAGGCTGGCATCTTGCTTACTTGTATACAGTATACCTCTGCTGTTATGCATATTTTAAGAACAGTACCTTTGAATATATGATGTCATTGGTATCGGGCCATTTCATGAAGACATCCTTCTGCAAACCTCTTGTGAAGGTGGGATAATCAGTTTCATTTCCTGAGATGGCTGGGTCCTAAAATCAAAGGTAATACAGTATTACACCTTTATGTTCAAAAGACAACAATAGAAATGCTATTAAATATATTCTGCATTCAGCAATGATATATTTCAGTTTAAAATTGGAATTCAAAACTGACCAAGATAATGATAAACCTCATTCCCTCTTGTTTTATTTTGTTAATTAGAGCCGGTAATCCAGCAAAGCGTGAGCCAATGGTGAAGTCCAACTGCCGTTCCATGTAATCAATATCTGAATATTGAACATCCTGCAATTAAAAAGAAAAAAAAAAGAATACAAGAGGGTCTTTTTTTTCATTTTTCTAAATATATGTTTGTAGAACATATGCCAAATTACATAAGCTACTACATTTTTGAAATGTGGAATTGGAATCAGCTGTAGCTTTAAGCTAAGGTTATTAAATGAATATCCTCAGACAACCTATTGGCAAGTTCACTATGAAATGAAGCTTTGGCTACCAGGTTTATTCTGAAGGTAGAAATTTAGGCATGCTAGAGAAAAAAGTGCTGGATTTGCATGCGTATGTATATACATATACATAAATGTACACAGAAATTGCGTAACTGTGCCTAGTAAGGCAACAACAGAAACAGTCGTTCCATATTGAAACAATTTGATACATATCAAATGAAGCTTCATTTATTTTTAGGTCTTCCTAAAAGGATGACATTCTGCTTTTCCCACTGTCCTAACAGCAGCCTGTGCCAAAAACATAGCTATCTTGACACAGAACAACATACCATTGAATTATGCTGCTTTATATTCTTTCCCTGCTTGTTTTCCCTGTTGATCACTATTCCTTCATATCTAGCGCAGCAAGAGCCCATGACCGACTGGGGCATCTGCGTGCTGCTTTGACACAAATAGTAAAGCAAATGGCCGAAGAAGATGGGTATCTACATTTAACACGGTCCATCTGAGAACGGCATCAAGTGCTAGAGCTGAGAACTCCTGCTTGTCCCAGGTTGCTGCTCTGGGCCTGGGAGGTGGGACGCTGGGCTCAGAGAGCCTCACCCCAAAGGCCAGATCAACCCCCTTTGCAAATGGGTCACTCTCTAAGCTACCGGACACTGCTACCATGCTGTTCTCCTGTGTTTCAAAGGAAAGGACTTCATTATGGAGAAAGAAGCTTAGACTCATAGCTGCAAGAGGGTTCGCGGTGAGATGTGTCCCTCTGCAGCCCAGGGGCTCTGAAGCTGTGAAGAGCAGGTGTCAGCACACTGAATCCCCAGTGCCTGTGGAAGGGCACTTTCCACTCGATTTATCAGCTTCTGCCAATTCCTTTGCTGGGTGACTAATTCTTCGGCACAGTTATGCTATGGCATAAAACTGTGTGCTCTGTTCTGCCATGGTTGTGGGTTCCCCCCCGCCATGTTCTTTGTTAATACTCTGAAGCCAAAGATTCAAGCATCAGTGCAAATTTTAGCTGCTATCAACGTACTTGGGGAATGCCAGCTGCCTTCATTGCATTCACCAGCTCAGCGATTTCCGAGTCGTTTCTGTACCCATAGCGGCATAGCTGGAATCCCAAGGACCAGTAGGCCGGCATGACTGGTCGTCCGACCAGCTGAAAATAGAAAGGAATACTTGTAGCAAAGAGAAAATAAAATTTTTTAAAGAATAAACAGTTTCAGTTTGTAATAGAACAAGAATCCTACTGCAGTGTATTCCTGAACAACTTGCTCTGGTGTTGGGCCCAACACCATGTAGAAGTCCAGGATTCCCCCGATCGTGCGGTACGTCAGAGCCGGCGTGGGCTGGAACGTCACATCTGTGAACAGGGAGAAGAAGTGAGGAAACGAATGCCTGGGTAAGCTGCTACTGTGAAAAACTGAACAAAAAACTAAAACAGGTTGAGAGAATAAAGTGAAGGGGGTTTTTTACCCATTGCATTGCTGTTAAGTAAGAGAACTCCATGGGCATTGCCATCTTCTTCAAGAGCCATATAAAATGGCTGAAAACCATATGAGTTCAACTTGTACTGCAGAAGAAACACATCGTGAGCATTCCCTTATTTACATCTACTAATAAAGCCAATAATTGATCGGAGACAACTGCCAAACATGTAACAAGAAGTTCAACATCGTTCTGTGCATAAATACTAACATTCCCATCCAAGATCATCTTCAGCTTCGTATTTTAAGGTCTGCCTTGTTCAGGCTGCTTAAGGGGGAAGGAAAACAAATGTACTACAGCCTTTAAAAATTGCTAATGGGAAAGAGCTTCCTCAGGACAAAACTTTCCCGTCCTTTTAAACAGTAGCAGGTGTCAGTGCGACTGAGGCATGCTAGGGCCATTCTGTTATTTTTCAAATACCCAAGACATATCAGAACCTAAACTGGAAATTATAGCTTTAATAAACCACCACTATTTTACTGGTAATCCCCTGCAAATTGCAAATGTTGTGTTATCTTGTAGAAAATAGCACAAGCACACACAGAGACATAAGATACCTGATTTACCTTTGTAAGTACTAGTTTGATCACAAAGTCGTGAGTTTTCCTGACTCACATCTAGCTTTCAGAATAATTGGCAGAGAAGCATGAAAAAGCAGCAATGAACAGTTTTTTCTAAGCCATTTTTTGTCACCTAACATCTGACTCGGGGCCAGAGCTCCACACTGGGCTTGACGGTCACAAATTAGAAACAGGCTTAGAGAAAACTGTTGCCCTTGAGACACAATGGACAACTTGGAAAAATTTTAAGCCTCAATGAATATGACCAAAGCCAATAAATGTGTCCAAT